GCCCCGGCGGCCGAGCGCGCCCGCGGGCGGCGCAGCCCGCTGGTCACCGGCGGAGAGGTGAGCGCGCCAGTCCTCCCGGGAGGGCCGCGGGGTGCAGGTCACGGGGAGAAAGGAGCGGGCCGGGCAGGTGAAAGCGAACCAGACCAAGTCACCTCTCCATTGCTGGAAGGCAGGCAAAAATCCCTCAGGAAGACAACCAGCCAGGTAGGCGAAGATCCTTCCTGCGGACGCGGATGCACGCGTGAGCGTTTGTCCAACAAAGACCCAAGGGCAAGGGGAGTGATAGCAATAATAATCACCATATTTAAGTGTTAACTTTAATCGAACTGAAGCGCCGGGGGAGGGAGTGGATGTTAAAGCTTCCAACAACAACGAAAACAGCCACAACGAGGGAACGCTTATGGGTTAATTTGACAACAGCACCCTGCAGTTAGAGAAGTGCCTCTGGCCCTGAGGAGAGTGTGAGTCCTGAGCAGCGAGCCAAACTTTATAAGCTATTTGCTTACTTTGGGAGCACAGAACTTTCCCTCCCTCAGGTTTGGACTCAGCTTTCCATTTCCCGCGAAGATTTCCTCTCTCTGCCCGTGTCACAAATTCGGGACCAAGAAGAAGAGCTCAGGTATTGTCAATTCCTACTTCATTATGAATATTTTAGGTTCAGGTTTATAAAATTAATCCATGTGTTCTCGTGCTTCTGATTCCCTTTTGAATAGCTCACATGTGGGCGCACATAGAGCTTCTATTTTTCAGCTGAATAGAGACACCGTCGCCTCTCTCTGATCACAGGCAGGTGGAAATGTTTTCTCCGAAGAGGCACAGAAAATGGTCACACTGACAAAAGTGGTTATACGGTTAATATTCTATTGCATTTTAATTCAGGCTAAACTCCATTCTATCTTTGTACCTACGTGAAGATACAAGCAATTTAGCATCTGTATTACTTCTAGTATACTTCATAGCTAAACGGTGGTTACTAGAAGACTCCAGAGTAATTCTATTCCGAGGAATACTGAGCTTTACAAATTATGTGGGTCACTTTTGTTTGAAAAGTGTAATAAAGATTTTATTTCAACCCTGTATGTTTTGAATTTCAGGAGGAAATTAGGCTTGGATCCCTGGGCTGGCCTCACATGTGGGTAACAGATATCATTTTCCAACAAGATGAACGTACTGCTTCCTTGGTTATACTGTCCCGCCCCTTTGCCAGATGGGACACTGCAGGCAGAAGGGACCAACAAAAGAGTCAGACGGTGTTTCTAAGCAGAGCCAAAGCAGACAGCGTCGTGCCAGCCGGGGGTCAGCATAGCTGCTGCCCCGAGGGCCGAGCCTCAAGCCTGCCCAGCTGGTCAGTTTGCTGTTTGCGCTCATTAGTTGGCAGTGAAATGTCCAATGTGTCTTTTCTGGCACGGACTTGAAGACATGTTAGAAAGAGATTTATTCTTCTTCCCAGTAGATTATTGTAACTCTTAAAAATGTTTTTGAAGGTTTAATCACATACTTTGTACATTAAATGATTAGATGTTATAAAATTAAGTTTGAGAATATACAGACCCATACATGCTTGTATATATACAATATATTAAAAGGCTGGAAAGGAATATACCAAAATGCTGATGAGTGGAGATTATTTTTTCTTTTTTTATTTATTTATAGTTTCCTTATTTTCTAAGATATGCATGTATTATTTTTATGTCATTGGAAAGCCAATCTAAAAGGACTCTTGTATAGTAGGACACTAAATCTTATATATTTCAGTTCACAATATCTTCATTATGGTCTTTCATTTCCCTTTTAACAAATCCCTGCATGAGAGATCGCCGATTCTCATTAAGAAGCTATGAAGCGGGCTGGGGATTTAGCTCAGCAGCAAAAGCGCCTGCCTGGCAAGCGCAAGGTCGTGAGTTCGGTTCCTGGTACCGGAGAAAAACCAAAAAAAAAGAAGCTATGAAGCAATTTTCTCAACAGTAAATACCCCACTTGATCATAAGGCTCAGTTTGAGGCCAGCACACACTACAGTTCTATAAAGACCACATTTTGCCGCAAAAGGTATGAATGAAATTAGCCACTTAGGACGCTTAACAACGTAGGTCTCCTGGATTCCCAGGGTTGCTATGTAGTGCAGCTTTGCTTGAACTATTTATAACTCCAAAGTGTGATGTTTTTTCAGGATGAAAGTGAGAGGAGAGGAAATCAGCTATTTGCTGGTCTCCTTCACTGCAGTGTGCCTGGTGGCCACCCCTGGGAGCAGGGCCTGTCCTCGCCGCTGTGCCTGCTACGTGTCCACAGAAGTGCACTGCACATTTCGGTACCTGACCTCCATCCCAGACAGCATCTCACCTGACGTGGAGCGCATCAACTTAGGGTGCGTGGGGCCCTGTCCAACCCCTGTCTCAGAGAGAGACAGATCATATTAGTCGCTTGTCTCACAAGCCCCAGTGACTCTGAAAGATTAACTACAACTCGGGCTGAGGATATAGCTCAGCGGCACAAGCGCCTGCCCAGCAAGTGCAAGGTCCTGAGTTTGATTCCTGGTACCAAAAAAAAAGATTAACTACAAATTTTTTTTTTCTTCTTCTAAAATGAGCTTGCTGTTGGGAAGCTCATTTTTTGGTAATCTGTTACTAGGATAAAGTCTAATACCTGGAGTCCTTCTTGGTAGGTTGGGCGGCTCATGATTGTAGAAAAGCTTCCCTCTGGATACATTTTTACTGGAAAATCATATCCCTCCAGTTAAGAATATGAGTTATGATATATTATAAGAAATGACAGGGCAACTGGAATTGTTTTGCTTTCTGTGAAAGATATGAAAAGTCCACTATATCTCTTGTAAGGCCATTTGAGATTTATAAATACTAGGACATAGTAAGCTCCCAATTAATGTTAGCCATTGTTATTAGTGGCTGAAAATGCTTGCCTAATTAAATCTGTCAAAAGACGATTTTAAAGGCCTGTGGAAAAGTATTTATGTGACATTAGTGAGCATCTACTTGTTGTCAATCATAATGTTTGGCACTGGGGACACAATGCCAAACAAGTGACATTATTCCCCGGGAAGCTGTAGTGAAAGATGCACCATCAATACAATTTAATATGAACTGTAACAGAGCATACGGAGTGCCTTGGGAACAACGACCAAAAGTAAGGACCAACACATCGCGTATTTACGATGTACTGGCATTGGGCTAGGCACTCTCTATATAGTCATTCATTTAAACCTCAGAATGCTTTGGAGTGGGTTCTGTTATCTTCAGTTTATAACTGGGGAAACTGAGATACAGAAAGGCTCCTGATTTTACCCAGGGAAAGACAAAACTTAAGTACCTAAGCTCATAAGTATCTAACCCATCAGAAGCCACTAATTCCACTACTAGTGAATGTGTGTCAGTCGCCTAAAAGCATGGCATGGATCTTAATGTTCACAAGTAGAAAAGGGTAGATCAAAGGCAGTCCAACCTGAAGTTTTAGTATGCACATAAAGATTGAAAATGAGAATGAATGAGGTGAGCCCCAGGAATCTGGAGGGGCTGATTGAAAGCCAGACTGGAAGACCTGGGTAGGGTAAAGTTGATCTTCAGTAGAATCTGATGAATGAATTAAACAATATTTCAAACATTTGAATAACTGCTTAGGGCTAGGAAAAACAAGGGAAGCATTGGATTTGTGTGTGTGTGTGTGTGTGTGTGTGTGAGTGAGTGTATGTGAGTGTGTGTTTGACCTTAGAACTTCAATGAACAGATTTAGCTTATGCCTCAATTGACCTTCCTTTTCAGGTACAATAGCCTGATTAGACTGACAGAAACAGATTTTTCTGGCCTGAATAAACTGGAGTTACTCATGCTGCACAGTAATGGCATTCACACAGTCACCGACAAGACCTTCAAGGATCTACAGGCTCTGCAGGTGACACTGGCGGGGGTGAGAGGTTGAAGAGCTGAGGGCAAGTTGTGAGATTTCCTCCAAAAGCTACCCATCCACCTGGGATCTAAGAGAAATCATTCTGCAGAATAGAGACAGACATCAAGGGAGAATGAAGGCACTGACTTCTGTTTTAATGCAACCATATAGGGAAATTAGATACTCCAGGATTACTAAACTTTTAGGATTTAATCCTGAAAGGCTCTATCTAGTCATATCTAATACTAGAATGTGATCCCCTAAAAATAATGACTGTCTTACATGTTAGTTTCCTGTAAGTCAATATACTGTTTTTTTCGGTGTCACTTGATTTACTTGTTTATGCTCTACCTTCTTGAAAATTTTTAAAGTTATGGAGACTCCCAATAATGCATAAAATGTGTGAGAATTATCACACAGGTAAGTGAGAAACTGAAAGGGAAAACAAGCATGGGGGCAAAGAGAAGGGAAGCACAGGGGAGTGCACATAGGAACTTCCAAGTCTGCTGTAAGTAGGACTTGAAGCTTTTGAGACTCTATTACACTTCTAAAGATAAAAATAAATCACACTATTGTTCGGGAAAAGCATCATTGTTTCTGATTTTCAACCAGAAAGAAATGTCTGACAGAATCTTCATAAAATAGATACAGTGTAATAAAATAAAGGCAATAATGCCCTTCTAAAAGATAAACACTAGCATTCATGGAGCCTTTTAATATCATTGTAGAGCTATGTAAGGAAGATTGTTCCCATAGTAGGGAACAATATAATACAGAATATTAAATGGTTTTGTTGATTTAGCTTCATCAGGATATATATATAATCTTCAGAGGAACAGATTGCGTATCTTCCAACCGCATTCTGCACGTAGGCACTGTCTTGCACAGGCTTTCGGCTCATTCTGAGGAACTTTTGGTTGGAATTACACTCCCAGCTAACATTGGAGGAAAGCTCCTCTTTGTTGTCAGTTTCATTTTTCTCTGTTTATTAGATACTTGGCATTCCAGAAGTGCATCTTCAGGGGAAATGACACCTTTGACCAAATCAGGAAAATATGATGAAAAATCATTGTTTCTACTAGCATTTCTTGTCTTTTCTTTGTGGGAGTATGAGTATGTTCAACTGCCAAGTGGAAAAGAAATTGAAGAATATTGAAATATTTAAAATTATTTGTTTCAGTTTAAAAATCATAATACTCAAAATAACCCAAAGTGGAAAACACCCAGATGTCCACCAAACTGATGAATGGATAAACAAAGTGTGGCCTATGAATGGAATGGAATACTACCCAGTGATGAATAGGAATAGAAGGCCGATACATGTTATTACAGAAATGGGTCTTAAAAACATTCTGCTAAATGAAAATGTCAGACGCAAAAGGCCACATGTTATATGATTCCATTCATATTAAATGTCGAAGATAAGCAAATGTATAGAAACACTGTAAACGTGGTCAGAAGGGAGAGAATAACTGCTGTCACTATTGGTTTCTATTTTGGGGTGATGAGCATTTTCTAATCTTATATAATGGGGATGGATACACAACCCTATGGCTATATTAGAAACTAATGAATTGTGTATCTCAAAACAGTGAATTTTGTGGCATGTGAATTATACTTCAACTCTATTATACACTGTCTCATTTAAGTTCAAGAAATCTTAAACTTTTTAGAAGTACTTTTGAAAAATCCTCTGGATTATGAGAATTTTCAACCGTATACAAAAGTAAAGAGAACCTTACAAGGAACTCCAGTGAATCATTACACTCTTCAGTAGTTATCAACACGTCACCTCTCTGCTATGCACTGCACTCCACTGAATCATTTTTAAACAAACCCAAACTATCATGTTTCATTTGTAATTCAATATATATCTTTAAATTAAGGGATCTTCAAAAAGCAATCACAATATTATTGTAATTTTAACAATTCCTTAATACAAAAAAATTTATGAGTGTTCTAGTTTCTCTGATTTAATTAGCAACTAATTTGTTAGAATTGGGCTCCTAACTAGGTATTCATGTTGCATTAGATTAACTTCACCATGTTTTATTGTTCATACAGGCTTTTCTCCTTTGGTGAGTATTTCTTTGACAATAAATGTGTTCATGTTCTTTTTTTTTCACCCATAGGTCTTAAAAATGAGCTATAATAAAGTCCGAAAACTTCAGAGAGATACTTTTTATGGTCTCAGGAGCTTAACTCGATTGCATATGGACCACAATAACATTGAGTTTATAAACCCAGAGGCTTTTTATGGACTCAACTCTCTCCGCCTGGTACATTTGGAAGGAAATCAGCTCACTAAACTCCATCCAGACACATTTGTCTCTTTGCGCTACCTCCAGATATTTAAAACATCTTTCATTAAGTACCTGTACTTGTCAGATAACTTTCTGACCTCTCTCCCTCAAGAGATGTCCTCTTATATGCCTGATCTAGAAAGCCTTTATCTGCATGGGAACCCATGGACCTGTGACTGCCATTTAAAGTGGCTGTCTGACTGGATACAGGAGAAACCAGGTATCAATTTTATTGTTTATATCTTGTCCTAACTAAATAGGAAAAATAAACATGGAGGTGTTTTATCAGCAATTGAGAGCCCCAGGTAATCTTGCTGAAAAAAAAAGAAATCCCACTAATAATTCAGTGACAATGATTTATTTATACATGCATTAGTCTGCAGTGGTACAGTCAAGAAATTGTGTCAGAGACCTGCAGTCCACAATGCTTAAATTCTGTATTCCCTGGCCCATTATATTAGAAGTCTGCTCACCTCTGGCTTAGAGAATCAAGCTTGTGTGCCTTTGCTCACATGCCTGGTGCTCCCTGTGTGGTCATGTCCTGTCCTCAGCCTCGTTTCTTTCTTTATCGCCTTCACCCCCTCTCTCACCCTGGGACACACACCACTTTTTGCTATAGTAACTCTGAACTACCTCGCGACACACCACCACTATTCCCCCAGCTCACACCTGCTGTTGCCTGTGCGGGGAGCCCTTCCCCTTCTCTTGTGCTTGATGTGCATCTGGTCAGCCAGCCAGCTAGCTTCGCTCAGCCCGCAATTTCCCTTCCAGGAAGTGTGGCTGCTCCTCCACCCACCTCTTCTGCAGAAGTTAATCATCTCACTACTTTTGCAGCTTGCTCACGCTCCATTCTTGTGTTGATAACCATTTTTATATTCGCTAGTATTAGATAGCTGCTGCCTTACTATGTCTAATTTATCTATCGTTAGTCCCTCCAGATGCCTGGAGCACAGTAGGTACTCAGTAACTTTTGTTAAACACAACATTAACAAAAGAGGGTTATAGCCAGCTGTGGCTGTACACAAAATAAATCGTGGTGATAGCCACAGTTGCATAGCCACTTTGATGATGAATGCAAATGAGCCCTCCACCCACTAGATACCTATGGCTTTAATATGTTCAAACATTTGTGTACAATTCTTATGTGTATTTTTTCAAATGGGTGTCATATATATGTCAATGAGACAAACCCTTTAGGGCTAGCCTCTTTTAATAATTGTCTCTAAATAGTTGATTGTGCTCCTTTTGCCTAGGATACCTTATTGGAAGTCCTGCAACACCCCTGAATAAGACACATCAACTTTTGCTTCAAAAATCTTTTCTATTCCAAGAGATCTGAAAGTTTCTCACACCTTCAGTTGTGTCACTTGGCCTGCAATGAGCAGCCCTTTGCAAATATCGGGTAGTCAGATGTAACGCTCTTCCAGTTCCTGGGGATATCTTCCATTCTTTGATTCCACAAAACTCTTGGTTCTGCTTTTCTATAAAATACAGATTTGTGGCCATTTCTTGACAAACGTTTGCTACTTTGTTTCCATGCATTTCTATGCCTATAACTTTCTTATTTAATACCAGATAATAGTGTAAACCTCACAAAAATAAATAATTTAAGTAGGAAACTTAACCTATGGTGATTAATAATATGTGTGATAGAATGGAAGATAGAACAAAACAAGTAACCAAGACAATACTGCAGGAATCCAGGTAGTGATAGCAATAGCAAGACTGCTTGTTGACCAGTTGCTCTCACAGAACTTCCTCAACTGTGAGAGATGTCTAAATTTATAAGTTAAAGTGTCCAAAAATATTGTTTTAGAATTAAGCCTGTCAGCTGCTCTGTCTGTCCACCCCATTCCCTCTGTCCCTCTTTTCCCACCCCAATCTTTCCTGAGCCTCCATACTAAGTTTACAGCCTTGTGGGAAGACAGACAACTAAACAGTCATTCTAATGAATGGCAAAGGGTTTCATAGAAAAACTGAAAGGCGCTGGGACAACATGAAGCAGTGCTGTTCTTGCTGCGCTGTTGAGCCGTATGCAGTCAGTGATGAAAGAGGACGTGTTAGACAGCAAGTGAGTAAGGTAGGAGCAACAGTGCATGGCAGAACCTGGCAGGGCTTGGTAGTTCTGAGGAGCAGAAAGTCTCCTGTAAGAATGAACCTGGTGTGGTGAAGGGTATGGAAGTGACCCAATCAGATTTGTATATAAGCAAAATACCTGATGTACAAGACCTGCTAACTTTGATTCACATGCAGTCAACAGTAGACATCGTAAGATGTGAGCATAATTTTGTGATGACATTCAGTTAAGCCAGAAATCTGTCATACTCTATATTTTCACAAGGTCTGATCTCAGGGTACTGATAAGTAAGTGAAGGACACTGCTTGTTAGTAAGAGGTGATTGGAAGGAGCCTTTGATGACTGCTCACATCTTTCACTCTTGTCAGCTATCCCCTCTGCAGAGCTTTACACAACAGTATTTGCTGAAGAATGCAGATTGGCCAACCACCTGTGACATTACCTTTTACACTGAAATATACTAGTTCCCTTTTATGCATGTGGTATATATTCTGAGACCCCCAGTGGATGCTGGAAACCTCAGTCCTGTGTAATTTTGTGCTTTATCCATCTTATCTAAGCACTTTACACACTGTGGGCATAACTTTTGCAACTAAAGGTACAAATAGCAAAGCTAGCAACAAATTTTTTTTCTTCATTATAATTTTACAGATAAAAGATCGATTCTTACCATAGATCATGGCAAGCTCAGCATGTGAGCCTTTTGTTTTCTCTGATTGACAGTTTTCACCTTTCACTTAAAGGATGAACTTTATGGATTTTGGGGGGGATATTTGAATTGCCAGCATCACAACTCTTGCATTTTGGGATCATTTTTAAGTAAAGTAAGGATTCCTTAATGCAATGACTGAGGCAGAAACTAAGTCACATACATGAGCTGTGTATACTGGGGACACAACAGAAGGAGGACGGGATGCCAGCATAGTGTGAGATTTCACCATGCTACTCAGAACAGCATGCAATTTAAAACTTATGGATTATTTATTTCTAGACTTTTCCAATTAATGTTTGCAGACCATGGTTGAGCAAAGGTAACTGAAGCTAAAGCAAGCAACATTGTGGCTATAGGAGGACTTCTGCACAGACTGAAGGCTGTAATCCTTGGACAGGGCACCTTTCTCAGGTCTTTGAGAGGAAATGTGTACGTGTGTAAAGGCAGTTTGACTCTGTCTAATCACTCGTGAATTAGACATAAAATACCCAATGCTGAGGTGCTATGTCTAATGCATATTATAGGAGTTACTGTATCCAATGGTGTGGAAATCTCAGGCTTCACTTTGTGTAGGAAAAACTGTTATCCAGCATTCCAGTGATTATTTTAAATATGCTCACTAGAGCTATATTCAAAATATCCATGTGTGTGATATCTGAATACTTGAATGGAAAGCCTTTATGATTTGGAAAGATTAGTTCTGTTGCTATAAGACTTGCAAGCTTACGACTTCTTCAGAATGTCAGGCCTTCAGGAACTACCCATCGTTCGGGCGCAAAGCTATCTCCCGCTCCTTTAAACCTGATTCTAGGAGTTTATGTTGGTCAGTGGGACTGTCATCACCACAATTCCCAAAGTCATAAGCCTGAGCCTTCCTGGACGACTCTTCTCCATCCCCCTGCTGTGTTCTACCAGCTGTCTCACCTGCCGCGTTATCTCCTGCACCTGCGTTCTCTCCATTCCCACGTCTGCCAAGCTACACCAGGCCGCAGTATCTCATGTTCCAGTCAATGTTCTTTTGGATAATGACAAAAAAACTTAAATTTTAAGTGATATTTACTACACAGTGATCACTTATCAAACAGGTTACATTTTAAAGGACAATGAAGTTCTGTGATTGTCCTTTAAAACACTAAGAAGTAAACCACGATTAATAAAAAAGTGATAAATATGAGCATTTCATTTTGTTTTTGTAAATAAAGAACTAAGCTGTTCAACTAATATTTACTGAGGAGCAAACATATATCAGGTATTTTCTAGGCATGGTAAGTAAAACAGACAAAACCTTTGTGCCTACGCATATTATATTGTAGCCGGATATATAAACAATATCCTTTTAGAAATCATTTCAGAGGCAAAAGCCTATGTATTAAACATTAAAGTTTCAATTTTTTCAAGCTCTGTCAGAAATACTTCTTAAATGTTCATTTAGAAAGAGACCCTAACTGATAATAATTAAATTGTGATTTTTCCTAGATGTAGTAAAATGCAAAAAAGATAGAAGTCCCTCCAGTCCTCAGCAGTGTCCCCTTTGCATGAACCCCAGGATCGTCAAAGGCAAGCCCTTTGTTGCAGTTCCAGCTTCAGCTTTCCTGTGTGTGAAGCCAACTATTGACGCATCCTTGAAATCAAAGAGCTTGACTATTTTGGAAGACAGTGGTTCTGCTTCAGTCTCTCCCCAAGATTTCATGGCACCCTTTGGCTCCCTCTCTTTGAGTGTGACGGACCAGAATGGAAATGAAGCAAACATGGCCTGCAGTATCCAAAGGCCGTCGAGATCACTTCCCACTGCATTCACTGAAGAAAATGACTATGTCCTTTTAAATGTGTCAATTTCAACATTTCTTGTGTGCAACATGGATGACAATCACATCCAGCCAGTGTGGCAAGTTCTGGCTTTGTATAGTGACTCTCCCCTGATACTAGAAAGGAGCCATTTGTTCACTGAAACACCTAGGCTGTGTTACAAGTATAAACAAGTGGCTTCTCAGCCTGAAGACATTTTTACAAATGTAGAAGCTGACCTTAGCACAGATCCTTCCTGGTTAATGCAAGACCGAATTTCCTTACAGCTGAACAGAACGGCCACCACCCTCAGTACACTGCAGATTCGTTACTCAAGTGATGCTCGGGTCACTTTACCAAGAGCAGAGATGAGGCCAGTGAAACTCAAATGGACCATGATTTCAAGGCTTAATAATACCAAGCTGGAACACACTCTGTTGGTTGGTGAGACCATTGCCCTGGACTGCCCAGGCCAAGGAGATCCCACCCCACACTTGGAGTGGCTTCTAGCTGATGGGAGCAAAGTGAGAGCCCCTCATGTGAGTGAGGATGGACGGATCCTAATAGACAGAAGTGGAAAATTGGAACTCCAGATGGCTGATAGTTTTGACACAGGAACGTATCACTGCATTAGCACCAATTACGATGATGCAGATATTCTTACCTATAGGATAACTGTGGTAGAGCCGCATGTAGAAGCTGCTCAAGAAAATGTGGTTCATCACACAGTTTTCATTGGTGATACACTGGATCTTCCATGTCATTCTACTGGCATTCCAGATGCTTCTATCAGCTGGGTTCTTCCAGGAAATACTGTGTTCTATCAGTCCTCAGGAAACAAGCAAATTCTTAAGAATGACACATTAAGAATATTCCACATTACACAAAAAGACCAAGGTCATTATTACTGTGTAGCAGCCAACCCATTAGGGGTTGACGCTTTGATTTTTCAAGTATCTGTCAAAACAAAAGATCAAAGGCCAGAGGAGCAGGATGTGGACACAGATGGATCTGGTTTCAATGCACCTGATGCCGGTGCTCATCTTAAGGATCTACCAGCTGTGCAGCTCCCTACAGCTACTGCTGTGGGGACTGAGGTTCAAAAAGAGGCTTCACGGATAAGTAGGAAGGGTAATTATCAGGAGTTACTACAGCGGCAGCATGGAGATTCAACAAAGCGACGTTTTAGGGAGCATAGAAGGCAGTTCCTTCCCTCTGCTCGGAGAATTGATCCCCAACACTGGGCAGCATTTCTAGAAAAAGCTAAAAAGAACGCTGTGCTAGAGAAACAGGAAAATAGCACAGCAAAGCCACCCTCCCCAGTCACTCAGTCTGTGAAAATATCTGTTGAGGAAGACTCTTCAGGCATGCCCTTGCCAGATGAGGAATTCATAGTCCTGGCAACCAGAGGTTCTAGTGTTCCAGAAACAGTGACTGCTGACTCTAGAATCGTATCTCACACCCTTGTGCCAAACATAGTGCCTGGCACCGAAGTCTCCCCACTTAGAAGTCCACAAACAGTGCAACCTACCATTAAAATGACAAATATATCAAAGAATATAAACCCAACCATACCAAGCAAAATGCAAGACACAACCAACCAAAATCCAACTACCATCTTCCCATTACTACCTGGAGTCACTGAGTTTCATGATGTTGACCGGGTGGGGAGAAGACAGCATTTTCTAAGTGTACTCCCAATAAAGGGGAAGACTATGACCGATGACGTCCATGCTACAATGCTTGGTAGCACTAACAAAAAAGCAGACATGCCCTTAGAATCAGTAAATACCGTAGATGTTCATGAGACAGCTGTAAGAGTCAGCAAGCCCAGGAGAAATCACTTCTATTCTCACATTTCTCAAAATCCCAGCACCTCTGAAGTTTCTGCAGATCCACATACTGCTGTCCATTCTCAGTTCCAGACACTCAGAAATAATACAGCTATCGTCCCACTGCCCAGACTCTTTGGGAGACGGAGGAGAATTTTGGGCAGAGGGCGAATGACCAGCCCGTTTAGAAACCCAGCTCTCCGATGGCATAGGTATGGCATTGTGAAGCCAACATCCAGAGATTCTTCTGAAGAAAGCACTACTGTATTTTCAGCCCCAGAGCTCCATGTGCTGTGCCCATCCTGTCTTCCCAGGCAGAGACTCACCTCCACCACCACCACTGCGCTGGTTTTCCCAAGATCTTCCCCTACCCCTCTCCCCAGAGCTCACATCACTAGGGTCACAGCAGAGGAGTCAACAACACTAGTTCAGGATCCTTCGTTACTGCTTGAAAACAGACCAACTGTAGATATTGAAAGAACAACACCCACAATAAAAATTTTCAGTTCTGAAAGTGCCCAGGAAACATCAACTGGTACAGCCCTGACTTACTCTTCAAGATCTGAATCTATGGAAAAAACTCCTAGCGCGAATAATGGTTATCAAAGTATGTCTAGCACCAGTGAAGCTGAAAGAGACTCAGAGATTGCATCACCACTTTCACATCCCATCACCAAGCCATCAGTGCCTACTACTACAGGCATTACAAGATTTTCAAGAAGGAAAATTCCCTGGCATCAGATCTCTGTAAATAAGCACAATCCAAAAGGATTATTAAAGAATCTGCATAAATTTGATTTACAAAAAAGCAAAGCCACAATCCTTCCTAAAATATCTCCTGCTTTACCCACTAATAAAATTATCCCCTCCCAGTCCACAACACTCCCAGCAAGCCTGACACAAATTCCACTTGCAACTTCAACTGTAGTTCACGACAACATTACTGAAACACACAGTCCTAAAAGTATCCCAGCAGGGAAGGAGCCTCCCTTTCCACCATTTTACCCTATGTTTCCTACCAAAAATTCAAGTATGATAAGCTTTGCATCAGGGCAGACAACACCAGCAATTCTTCCCACTGCTTCTGCAACTATATTTATCAATAAAATCCAAGCAGCAAGACCCAGAGCACAAAAAGGGCAAAGAATAGAGGAGTTTCAGAGTAGAAATGATCCAAACATCTCTTCTGGCTGGGGTGCTGGCATCCCTACATCTGCTGCTATGCTACCTCCTGTTCTGACTATAACTGCAACTTCAATCAAGCCAAATACCTCTGTTATCACTCATTCCCTCCCAGAAGACACAAGTAGAATTTTGGGCAAAATTGGTCAACACTCAAGAACTACTAATCTGGCAAATGGAACTGAAGAACTACCCCAAGAGAACACTCTGACTTGGAAAAGCACAACTGCTTCTGAAACAACTTTGCCTAGCAAGTCGGAGAAGAATACCACAACTAGGAAAACCATAATTAGTCCCTCAACCATGCCACCATTCCTAAGCAGCAGTGCCCCTCTAATGTCCATGCCCACTCCCCCTCCCCCTGCTCAAGGTGCAGTTACAGATACTGTGGGAGCACCTGTTTCCAAGATGACAAATGTGATGGTCAAGTTGCATGAACCCTCAAGGCATGATACTAATTCACAGCAACCAGTAGCAGCATTTGCAATACCACCCAAGGTACACCCAAAAGTTGAGTTCACAACTAGAACCACTCACCTTACCTACTCTGATCTACTACATTCTGGTCCTACATCAGCCCTAAACACAACAGTTCAACCACAGATTTCTAAATGGATGCCCCTTCCTCAGCCAGGAAACCAATTCTGGCACAAGTCAGACCCAGAGATTTCTGAAAAGGACAAGAAGCCAGCAGTCAGCGTGTTTCCCACTCTTAGCTTGCCAGAGTCCACTTCTCATGCCTCACATTGGGGTAGACAGGATAATGCACAGAAGAGTGGACTTCATAAGAAACAAGTTGAAAAAATAACTTCCAAATTCCTCCCCTCGGACATTTTGTCTAGGAATACATTTGAGAAGCCCAGAATAGTTGGAGGAAAAGCTGCGAGTTTTACCGTTCCAGCTGACTCCGATGGCTTGCTTCCTTGTGAGGCTACTGGAAATCCCCTGCCCACCATCCACTGGACCAGAGTCACATCAGGTATTTGAAACTTTTCTTACACTTATTCTTCTTTAACTGTAGCACTAGGACAAGATTGTATTTTGGAGAAATTTGAAACTGGGGTTGATTTCTTCAAGAGTTAATCTCAGTTTCAAATTTCTGCAAAATATAGAAAATATTAATATTCTCATTTGACATTTGCATATTTTTGCTCACTATCTCTTAAAATATACTAAGAGTAGTTTTTGAAAATACAAGTATATCCAAAAATAAGATTTGACAGAAAATGGCTATTTAACTATCTAGTTTTTAAATTTAAATTATGTGAATTTTTAAAATCCAAGCAATTCTGAAAACTGGATTTTAAAATTTGAAATGTATTTATTCTCAGTAGCTTAACAAAAAGATCACTTTATGCTTTCTATATAAATTTTGGTGGCCTATGGCTACAAATTTCTTTCTTTTCAGCAGGAGTTGAATTGTCTAAAAGGAAGTCGAATAGCCGATTCCATGTGCTCCCTAATGGCACTCTATCCATCCAGAGGGTCAGCATTCAGGACCGTGGACAGTACCTGTGCTCTGCGTCCAATCCTTTCGGCACAGACCGCCTCTATGTCACCCTGTCGGTGGTTTCCTATCCCCCCAGGATACTAGAGAGACATATCAAGGAGATCACAGTTCATTCTGGAAGCACTGTGGAACTGAAGTGCAGAGCAGAAGGTAGGCCTAGCCCTACAATTTCCTGGATTCTTGCAAACCAAACAGTGGTCTCAGAAGCATCTCAGAGAAAGACTCGGGCCCTGGTAACATCCGACGGCACACTGGTCATCCACAATCTAAGTATTTATGACCGTGGCTTTTACAAATGCATGGCCAGTAACCCAGTTGGCCAGGATTCGTGGCTGATTAAAATACAAGTCATTGCAGCTCCCCCTGTTATTCTAGAGCAAAAGAGGCAAGACGTTGTAGGGATTTGGGGTGAAAGTTTGACACTGCCCTGCACTGCAAAAGGAAGCCCTCAGCCCACTGTTCACTGGGTACTCTCTGACGGCACTGAAGTGAAACCATTGCAGTTTACTAATTCCAAGTTGCTCCTGTATTCAAATGGGAGTCTGCATATAAGAAACATAGTCTCTGCAGACAGGGGCACTTATGAGTGCATTGCTACCAGCTCCACGGGCTCAGAGAGAAGAGTGGTAATGGTTACAGTGAAAGAACAAGAGACCATTCCCAGGATAAATGTTGCCTCCCAGAGATGGACTGAAGTGAACGTAGGGGACAAATTACTATTGAATTGCTCAGCTACAGGGGAGCCCAAACCCAAAATAATCTGGAGGTTACCGTCCAAGGCTGTTGTTGACCAGTGGCACCGGTAAGCCCATATCTTTGTGTTGGAATTATCTGGTTTACCTGTTTATCTGTACACAACTTGTGAAGTGGAAAAGGTGAAACAGTAAGCCTAAGAGCAAACTTTGAAAATGCACTGCACGTAAATGCAGCTCTTGTGAAAGAAACCTAATCCATTTGAGATCACTGAAATATAAAAACTAATCTTACATGCTGATTTCTAAGAGTCAAATTCTTGAGTTTATATAGTTAAACAAAAGACAAATGAGAATCTCATTGGCCCCCCCACTTTTTAGCAGTTTTAAGATGATAACTGGGTAAATACAGTCACAATTTCTATATACAAAAAGAGAAAATTTTCAAGATGCTGTTGGAGTTCTAGAGAACCACACTCCGTTTCACTCCTCAGTCTCCTGCTCGACACTTTAATCCTTATTTTACTCAGCAATTTCTTCTTTTTTAAAATTGCAAACACTATAAAAGTCACAATATTAAGTTCTTCACAAAGTGAAACAGATCCAGGAGCTCCATCCCCCTGATATTGTCAGACACATAAATACACAGAATTTTCTCTCACATGCTCTTTTACAGGAACATTAATGTTCATTTTATAGCTGATTTTGCATATATTAAGCCTAGCATTGAAAAACAATAATTTTGAGTCATTAATTTTTGCTATTTGAAGAACTTTGTGCAATTATTTTCCATAACATGGCAGAAAAAGATGAAGATGATCAAACAATATAGCATTTGCAATTCTATTTTCTCATTAATAGAAAATATCCATGTAGAAAAAATTGTACATAATAGGAATGAATTTATACTTATGCTTAGTACTTGAAGAATAGATATTTATCTAGTATCAGAATGAGTTGGTAATAAATAAAATTAATGGATTTAACTTGTGATTTTTAAAATTCAAAAGTCAGTGTTAATTTTCTGATTCAAATAAGTCGTCAAAATTACCTAAGTGTTAAGTTATAATTAGTTTAAAATTAAAATTTTTAAATGATGAGCTATGGAATCTGAATGTTAGAAACAACATTTGTGTTTACAGTCCACTACATATATGCTTATTTATGACACTTAATATTTTAATGCATTATTCATCAGCTTTTGCATTTAATTTGACAATGTCAGCCCTTTTGTCTTGCTTTCAAATTATCGTAAGCATTTTATTAGCATTAATTACCACTTATTAAATTAAAGCATTTACAATAAACTCCACAGCACATGAGGATTATTCACACTTACCTAGAGACTACTCATTATTATTTGTATTTTTAGAGATAAATTTCACTCTCCATGTAGAAAGCATCGCATGAAGTATAAAAATTTCACACTTATGGTAAGAATTACAGATAAAGGTGAAAATTTAGGTTGTAAAGGCAGTTCCATAATCTGGGAATTTACTAAGCATTAATTCAACTTTTGACAATACAAATATTTTATTCAATTAAGGCAACGTCCTACAATTAGTCCAAAATATATCTGAAAAGTGCTCTAAAACACACATACATTAGCATCTCAGAATAAGTGTTGGCTAACTATTCCAACAAATTCTCTAGAATTAAATAGCAAAGAAATGTAGCAGGTTGTTTACATTTTGCTTTGGCAAAATTCTTGTAGAACATAGAAATATTGTTTTATTGTGGAATAGGTAAAAGTGTGTAGAAGACTGTAAATGCTATTGTTGGCCAAGTAGAGGCACTATATTTTATTTTTTAATAAGGAAATAGAAAATGAAAACTTCAATAATTATATTGTAAGTAACCTTATAAAGGTAAGAATAATCATAGCTGTAATGAAGACTTTCTCATTTTTACAATTTAAATTCAAAGTTCTAATCCTCAACAGGGGGAAGATTACAATTTTGTATGTCAACAGAAAAAAACTGCAGTTCTACTATGAAACAAAATGCCCCCCAATCTTAATCTTCACAATTAGAAGGAATAGAAGTTTGAACTTAGAATCTGAAAATGAGAAAACTTTAACCACATCTATGATGGTACATATCCATAACTTGCTCAAAATAAGCAACTTCTTTATTTCCTTAAAATCTACTTCTCAGCAGAACCAAAAAGCCTGTTATAGATTAAAAAAAAAAAAAAAAAAAATCCCAGACACAGCATTGCTAATCTCCCCTGCTCTTAGTATCACTTATGTGACCTGTGTGTGTGCTCCAAACTGTTTTCTTTCCTCTGGCACGTTGTTCCTTCTGACCTGGAAGCTTGGTAAAGTTCAGAAAGTCAGGTTCCACCCAAAACTGTTGAATCTCAATCCACACTGTTTACAAAAACTTCCTCAGGTGAATCACATGCAAAGGAAATTTGAAAAGCAATGCTTCTGAAAGGCGAAAGAGGTTTGCTTTTGCATTAATTTTTAAAAATTATTTTAGGTATTTGATTTTTATTTTTCATTAGAACATGTTTGCAGTACATAATGATTACAGTTGCATTCATTGTGGGTAACACATACATAACACGTTACCAATATTTTTGTTGACACAAATAGTTGTACATTTTAGGCAGTATATATAGAAATTCTATATATGTGTGTGTGTGTATTAATCAAAGTGATAAGCATTTTCATGTATTCAAACATTAATCATTATGTGTTGAGAATTTTGTACTCATGTAGTCATTTAGAAATAGATCACAGGTTATTTTAACCAATAATTACCTATTGTGCTATAGAAAAACCAGCTCTAATGCTTCCTGTTATATCTAGATGTCCCCCAAGAGCCTCAGACACTTACAGGCAGGACTTTGGGAAGATGAATTGATTATGGGGCCTGTGGTTGACTCGCTGTTGAAGAGGTGGAGTCTGGTTCCAGAAGATGGATCCCTAGGGGTGTGGCCTTGGGGATCATCTCCCTTCCCAGCTCCTCCCTTATCTCTTGGCTTTCTGTCTGCCATGCTATGTCTTCCACTATGCACTTCTGCCATGCCTTCTTGCCTTGGAGCCAGCGGACTATGCATTGAAATCTAACCCAAAATAAATCTCTCCTTCCTTAAAACTGTGGATGTTTGGTATTTTGTGCCATCAGCAAGAGATATGACTGAGACAGATTCTGGGACCAGAGAAGTGTGGTCATTGCTGTGATGCTGTCTGATCTTGTGGTTCACAATTTTGGAACTGTTTTGCAAGAGGAGCGTGGAGATGCCAGCTGGAGCAGCAGCCCTAGAATACCTTAAACTGAAATTGACGGGAGATTCTGGTCAAAGATCAGAGCTTAGAGCTCAGAATGCCAACAGGAATACATCCTTGTAAAGACCAAGGGGAGGAGGTTTTAGTTGGGAACAAGGACTCCACTGGCAGTAGGACCTCAGGCCATGTGTGCTATACTCTGCCAGAAAATCTGTCTAAATTTTGCTCATGTCCTGAGACTGCAAGAGACTGAGATTAAGGGTGGCAGACTAGTTAATCTAGTGGAGGAAATTTCAAGGCAGCTCATTTTCAGGCTGGAGCTTGGGTACTTTGGGGGCTTTTTAGTCAATTCTACATTGAGAACCAGGAGCAAAATTGCCATTTGAAAAGTTTTCAGTTTCCCCAAAAAGGGAGAGCCTGCAAAGTTTTGGCCAAAGAAAGCTTGGTTGCTGAAAAAGATTAAAAAGAAGCCAAGCACCATCAGTCAGGACAATAGGAAAGACAGCTTAAAGGCCTGTCAGGAACCAGCAAGGCCCTACCCTTCACAGCCTCAGAATTGTAAAGTGATTTTAGTATGAGAAGAGCACCCCAGTGAACTGTGCTCCAGAATGGCTATCTAGGGAATTGTTTCCCCGAGATTCCTTTCATAGCGCTCAGCCATCGAGGCACTTGGAGGCCTGTGAAGCCATTATTTTAGGGAGCCTGGCTAGGGCTCAAGCTAGCAGCAGAACTTGACACATCTATGCTGTGCTGGTTTTACGTGCATGCAGAATGCAAGCATTGTGGTGTCATGGAGGTTTTCACCCAGATTTCAAAGTGCAGCAAGACTCCAGAAACTTGGGGATGTTGGAATGTAAAATACCTTGCTCACATGGAGTGAGCAAGCTACAACCACCAATGCCAGAGGGGCAGAGATAGCCAAGCCACTTGACGTTCACCTCTTGCCATACCTTTCCCTGGTTGCTGGACATGGAACTTTGGGATTTAATGTTTGACTTGATTTAATGGTTTTCAGTCTTGCTTTGTTCTGATTTCTTTCTATCCTCCTGTTTTGCCTTTTGAAATAGAAATGCTTATCCTGTGCCATTGTATTTCAGCTGTGTTTAACTTTTTGAGTTTTACAGGGGCTGTCAGCTAAGAGTTTACCTTAAGTCTTAAGACACTTTGAACCTGGACTTCTCAGCAATACTAGAATTGTTAGGACTTTGGCAACTCTTAGAGATTTATTTTGCATAGCAGGATGTGCGCATGAGTCTTTTGAGGGCCTGGAGCAGAATGTTATAGTCTGTATCCAGAGATCCTCAAAGAGCCTCACGAGTGGGGCTTTTGGAAGATGACTGGATCGGGGCGGCGGGGCCCAGCTGGAAGAGGCAAGTCATTGTAACCAGGGGGTTATATCTTCCTTCCTAGGTTCTCCCTTGACTCTCTGCTTCCCTGCTGGCATGACATTAGCATCTCTCTCTCTCTCTCTCTCTGTCTCTCTCTCTGCCACGCTATTGTCTTGGGGCTGGGCAATCATGGATTGAAGTATACACAATTTCAAAACAAGATGACAGGAAATTAATAATGGTTATTATATTGCATATTGTTATTGTTATCTTCAGAGGAGTTGCTCAGATTACAAGATATAGGCCTGCAAAACTGATCAAGCAATATAAGCAAATTTTAATAAAACTGATGCTCACGCCACACCTCACACCATTTAAGTCAGACATTTCAGACATGGGATTTAAGTACCAGTATGTAAAACTCCACAAGTGATCGTACTGTGTTGCCCAGTTTGATAACTAATGCTTTGAGAAAGCATTAGCAAATAATAGCGGGTGAAGTGTATGCAGCACTGTGAAACAACACAGGGCTGCCCTAACTTAAGGTATGTCAATAAATCTGTCAGTTTTTCAATTGCATAATGGGGGAAATACTGGAAGGTTTTACCTTTACTTATATGTGAGAGAAATTCCTTTCACATGAGAAAAACAAAAACACCACCAGTACATCCTAGAATGTTCTATGTACAGTACTTTCCAAAACTTATGTGGGGTAGAAAATAAAAATAATGCAAGGTTGTTTAATTGGCTTAGCAGTTATGCCATGAAAGAGTCCTCACTTTTCAGTTTCATCACATGTTGGAAAAAAGAAAGAAAAATTCGTACACATAGATTTTCACTTATGTGCCTTTCTGATCCCATTTCTAAAATCAACTCAATTTCCAGTGGTCTTTCTGAAAACTAGATTTAATTTTATAAGGAACGTTCTGCCACCCGGTGGTGAAATGTAGTAATGGCAGGTTCTGTGACTACAGTTGAGGGAAAAAAAGAAACCAATCATTTCACACAGGCCTTTTGAGGAGAGATGCTGTGGGAAGTTTCTAGTAACTTACATTAGCATCCTCTCTCCCTTTAAGAAACTAGAACTCACTCTGTAACCAAATGACTGAATAATCGCTTTGTTACAAATACCTTTTTAAAAATAATCAGAGAATAATTCTATTATTAAAATTTATATGAAAGTACATTTTTACCAATATATATCACAAAATGGTCATCTCTATGGGCTCATCAATTTGACGTATAGACTGCTAAAGGAAGCCACAGTGTCTAGAAGTTCATGAGAAAAACATTGCTCTTGCCACTAAAATGTTTTAAAAGTCACCATGAAGAGATTTGAAGTCCACAAGATATAGAACTTGCTTGTACTAAATTTACATACTTTTATCTTTCAGCAAATGGCTTAAAAAACAAGAAACTAGGACTGATATAAAGTTTTACTACAACAGTTTAAGAAAGTGTCCATACAACCAATCCCATGTATCGCACATACCCAAAAGGGCCACTACGAGGGGGTAAGATAGGCCAGTGAGCTGATCATCTCGTAACGCACACGTGCACTGAAACATCACGTGGTACATCTTCAACACATTTTTAACCTAATATGCACCAGTAAAGCTTGGAGAATCTAAGCCAATATACGTAAGGCAACTTCTATGTCAGACTGCACCCCTGAAACGTGTAGTCTTTAATGTTAGTTTTAAAAGTCTTTTTAAAAACCTCCCAGTATTGACAGCTAGACGCTCAAATGTGTCTCTTTTCTCCTTAGAATGGGCAGCCAAATCCATGTCTACCCAAATGGATCCCTGTTTATTGGCTCCGTAACAGAAAAAGATGGTGGTGACTACTTGTGTATGGCAAGAAACAAAATGGGAGATGATCTACTCCCGATGCACGTGAGCCTGAGGCTAACCCCGGCCAGAATTGTCCACAAGCAGCATTTCAAAACACAGGCGCTCCACGGGAAAGACTTCCAAGTTGACTGCAAAGCTTCTGGCTCCCCAGTGCCCGAGATATCCTGGAGTTTGCCTGATGGGACAATAATCAACAAAGCAATGCAAGCTGATGACAGCGGCCATAAGACCAAAAGGTACACCCTTTTCAACAATGGAACCCTTTATTTCAACAGAGTTGGGATTGCAGAAGAAGGAGATTATACTTGCTATGCCCAGAACACCCTAGGGAAGGATGAAATGAAGGTTCACCTAACAGTTATAACGGCTGCCCCGCAAATAAGGCTGGGTTACAGGACAAACATGAGAATCAAAGCTGGAGCCACGGCCACTCTTGACTGTGAGGTCACTGGGGAACCCAAACCAAAAATATTTTGGTTGCTGCCTTCTAATGACATCATTTCATTCTCCAGTGACAGGTACGTATTTCATGCCAACGGGTCTTTGTCCATCAACAAAGTGAAACTGCTTGATTCTGGAGAGTACGTATGCGTGGCCCAAAACCCCGGTGGGGACGACACCAAAACGTACAAACTGGATGTTGTCTCACAACCCCCGCTAATCAATGGTTTGTACAGAAACAAAACTGTCATTACAGCCACAGCTGTGAGGCACTCTAAAAAACACTTCGACTGCAGAGCTGAAGGGACTCCATCGCCACAAATCATGTGGATCATACCAGACAATGTTTTCCTCACAGCTCCATACTACGGAAGCAGAATCAAAGTCTATAAAAATGGAACCTTGGAAATTAGGAACCTGAGGCTTTCGGATTCAGCTGATTTTGTCTGTGTAGCTCGGAGTGAAGGAGGAGAGAGTGTGCTGGTGGTACAGTTAGAAGTACTAGAAATGCTGAGAAGACCAACATTCAGAGATCCACTCAATGAAAAGGTATTTGTTCAGCTTGGAAAGTCCACAACGTTGAATTGCTCTGCTGATGGTAACCCACCACCTGAAATAAGCTGGATTCTACCAAATGGTGCACAATTTTCCAACAAACCAAAAACTTCTCAGTATCTCGTAGCAAGCAATGGTTCTCTCATCATCCATAAAACAATTCGAAATAGTGCAGGAAAATACCGGTGTGCAGCCAAAAATAAAGTTGGATATATTGAGAAATTAATTGTACTGGAAATTGGGCAGAAGCCAGTTATTCTTACATATGCATTAGGGACAGTAAAAAGTATCAGTGGGGAGTCCCTGTCATTGCATTGCGTAGCTGATGGAATACCTAAGCCACACGTTAAATGGACTGTGCCAAGTGGCTATGTAATAGACAGGCCTCAAATCAATGGGAAATATATACTGCATGAAAATGGTACCCTAGTCATCAAAGAAGCAACAACTTATGACAGAGGAAATTATATTTGTAAGGCTCAAAATAGTGTTGGCCATGCACTTATTACTATGCCAGTAATGATTGTGGCCTTTCCACCCCGAATCACAAATTCCCCACCCCGGAGCATCCTCACGAGGGCAGGAGTGGCCTTTCAGCTCCAGTGTGTGGCCCTGGGAATACCCAAGCCAGAAATCACCTGGGAGATGCCTGGCCACTCCCTGCTCTCAAGAGCAAGTAAAAGAACTCCTGAAAGTGAGCTGCCTCACCCACAAGGTACCCTGGTCGTTCCGAATCCCCAGACCTCAGATTCTGGGATATACAAATGCACAGCAAACAATCCACTTGGCAGTGATTATGCAACAACTTATGTTCAAGTTATATGAAATGAAATGAAATACAAAAGTCGACATCTGGACAGTATATTTTTTGGAAGAAGTTTAATCAAAGGCAGCCATAGGCATGTAAATGAATTTGAATACATTTACAATATTAATTTACAATGGACATGCAAAATAGACACGTAAATAAATGCATTATGAACCGATACTGATTTCTTTAATAAATCCCAACTTAAACTTTTAACTTAAGGCACTTTTATTTTGCCAACAAATAACATTAAGAGAAAATGGTCCGCAATAAAATAACAAATGTCTAGTGCACCTGAATTTTCCAGTGACAAATGGACATTTTTTTTTTCCTTTTACTACCAGTTGCCTAGTATCCATCCTCTATCCACATTACAAGCACGGCACTCAGAACCGCAACAGTGGGAAAGATTTACATTTGCGGTCTGTATGTAAATTTATCATCTCGATCTATAATAGTTTGTCATTGCTTTATAAATATTTTGCTAAAACCTACAGAAAAGCACTGAACTGTTGATTATGATTTATCATTTGTCCACATTAAGATTTCTCACTGATGGGGAATATAAAATGTTTTAATAACTGCATTTAAAAATAAATGCAGGCCAATTTTTCCCCATGTAAAAAAGCAACTTAACACCCACATATCATAAAATGTGAAAAGGGGGATGATTACACTTTTGTCCAAATATACCCATTAAAAACATTTTTAAAATACAGTGAAACTCCTTTATAACATTAATATCTAGCTCAGGCACCCCGGGCTGGGAGTTGTATGTAAAGAAAGTTTTCTGAGGAGAAATCTTTGCTTTGTGAGCATTCATTTCATTAGTAATAACTCTTTGTGCAATGAACAAATGTTTGGGAGAGTCTGGATCTATTATATATAATGAAGTTTCACTGTATTTAAATTTTGATTAACCCTACAAAATGCTGCTTTTTGTAACTATTGCACATGCCTAATTCAACCTGAATTAACTTTGGAGACATTATATGATTCACCTTTTCTAATTCTAGAAGATGGGACTTTCCAGTGTAATTTATCAAGCATCTGTTCAAATACTCACCTATTACTTTAAAATTATAGCTTTGTAAATGAAAAACTAAGCTCTAGATTTTGTTCCAATAGCACAGTACACAAAACTGAGAGCTCTACTAGCCCCTGTTAGTCACTTAAGATGCAAGGGAGAATTCTTTTCAGTATGTTCTCATCACACCAACTTTCAGCTGGCCCCATCTGAGCGGTGACCTGATTGCTACTAATCTCACTAGCCTATGGCTGCAGGACATCGAAGAATACTCATTGTAAAGTCATCCTCTTCTATTTCCACACCAAGAAAAGGTAAATAAAACAATGGATGCCACCCTGTTAAGAAGGAGCCTCCGGTGCAGTCAGGTACTACGTCTAAGGCAGTGATGGCAAACCTTTCAGTGCCTTCAGTGATGACCAACAGCCTGCTGTGGCATGGGTGCTGCAGGCTCACCACCGCTAGTCTAAGGGATTCTTACATCCAGGAATTATGACAGGTGTAACTCCATTAGATTTCAAGTCCTTATCTTTCAGGGGACCTGGGGTCTCCGCTTTTTTGTTTTTTGTTTTTTTCATTTTTGAGTCAGCGTTTTGTTATGTAGTCCAGGCTGGTCCTGAACTCACTATGTAGTCCAGGATGGCCTTGAACTCCCAGCGATGCTCCTGCCTCAGCCTCCCGAGTGCTAAGATTACAGGCGTGCACCACAAAGCCTGGCAGGGTCTCCATTTTATTCTAAGAAAATTTCCTGTCTGCAACTCATCAAACAAACTACCAGACACTGATACAAAGCTTGCCCTGTGATCGCTTTAGTGAAACTAATGCATTTACTAGAAAAGAAAAAAAAAATTGTCCGGATAGAGAATTCAGTGGGAGGCAATATTTTGAATAAATTAAAATTTGCAGTTATTTTCCTTATAATGCACTGGGGGAAAAATAGCTCTAAGTTTTTTCTAAGCCTTCCATAGCAACTCAGAATTATAGGCCTTACTATGACGTAGCTTCTTCACCTTAAAAAAAGAAAGTACACAACAACAAAGGTGTATTCCATAGCTTTCATGTGCAAAATGATTAATAAATTAACTCCTGCAAAATGTAAAGTGCATACAAATGCTATGCAATTATAACACTCATTCTTGAAAGAGTATTACTGCTGTTTGCAATATTGAGCTACAAAAATAGACAGTTTGAACTGAAAAATGGCATTTTAAATACCAGTAATTCTGGAAACCCACGAAGACAGGCCGCGACTTGCTCACTAGGCACAGCCTTCACGTTTCGGTCGTTCTGCCAGCAGGTCGGACGGCTTTGAAGTACCCTAACTCCATGAACTCTAAGGAGGATTCTTGAGAGAAAAAAATGCTGCTAGACAGATACAGCTGAAACTTAAGAGATACATGTTCTGAAAGCGGATAGAATATGAATTTAGGATAAGAATGGTCTTTTAATGTTTTGGCAAAGTTTTTTCCAGCCAGAGTAAACATAAAATGAGCAGGCTGGAGGGAAGTATTTTCACAGTGTACAACGCAGTTCACATGGATGTTGCCACAGCAAAGTAAGCTGACATGTATTTGAGGTCATTTGCATGAGTCACACTTTGCAATGAGTAACTCACCTAGGAAGATATAGATTACTTATATAATGATTTGCAAAAGAAATTATCTACTGAAGTTGTACTAGCTACATTTAAAAAAGTAGTTCTACATGGTTTGCTCATTATAGACAAATCTATTCACAGTATGCTTAACTACATTACATGTAAAGTGATATGAAAGAAAAATGAATTAACACAGAACATGGGAAAATTTTCCCCACATGTTTTAAAATGCCCTGCAATTTTCACATTCAAAATTTTATGCATCTAAATCTAAAAAAATATTATATGGAATACTCTTAAGTTACACAAACTGATAATTTACTGTATTTTTTACTCTAATAGGAGCAAATTACCACATACTTGAACAAAGTTAAAATAGTTACTATTTCTTTATAATAAATTTGATGTATAATTTACTTTACTTGTGCTTTTTGCACCAATTTATAAATACAGTATATGCAATACACAACCAAGACTGACACCAACAGGAATATTTAAATTCAAAATAGCAAATACTTACCATACAAAATAAACAGTAAATATACCTTTCATGAAAACCAGAGCCTTCTCAACTTTGGTGCCAGAGCCTCTGGAAACCATGTCAAGTTTGAGCACTGTGGAACCTCAGGCCAGCTTCGAGATGGTTTTCTTTACTTCTGGAGTTGGTGTAAGGTTCTGGAAAACCTTATGGACAGTCATTTTTTTTGCCAAAATTGGCAGTAAATAAATAGAACAATTCCACTGTTCTGGGCCTTCAGGATTACATGTTGTACCTTCACAAAGACTCTGGTCAATGATCTTGTCACTAATAATAAATTCAAGTGCAGTTACTTCTAATATGCTTCCACGTATCTTATGGTGGTTTTCACAGAAGCCTTGGTTGAAGTTTAGGTACTAAGCAACAATCTGTTTCAGCACCTTTTGACCACAACAAAAATAAAAGTCCTATATAAATAAGAATAAAGTTTATAAAGTGCTTATGAAGTTACAAACATTTCAAATTAGAGTGATGCAAATAAATGTCCATTTCACCAGCACAGGTGAATGCAGAATGAATGGGTCACTTTCCTGTCAGGACCTGGCATGACTTTCAAATCAGTAGTTTGGTCCACCATGGTGTATTTAAAAAACAAACAAAAACCCCCAATTTCATCAATAATGAATACATAAATATTTAAACCCACCATAACTCATTCTTCCGTAAGTATGACAATCAAAGAAAAAAGCACCAATTTCAAAAGGTCTGCTCCCACCTTCGTCCTGGAGTAGGCCCGCATGATCCATCTTTTAAAGCCTACTTTAAAGTTAAATGTAACAAAACTGAACCACAATTTCTCTTTTACTTTTTGTTTAAATACCTTTGTATGAAATTTAGCATAAAGTATGGGAAAATATCAAAGAACTAAAAGGCCAGAGGGACATTTCTAGGATGACTAGTAAATTAAACTTGATTTTCTATTTCTCAGTGCAAACATAAAACGCCGTGTCTTCTCTTCCAGATTCAGAAGTGTGAAGAGTGTCCATAGGGAGCCACTCCTTGCTGTGGCTGATTACCTAGTGAGAGAAATAAATTCAAATTAAAATTAGATGTAAAATTATGCTGCAGATAAATGCTTCTCTCTTGCCACTGCTCAGTGACATTCTCAGGTACAGGGGAACAGACCACCTGGCCATAGTACCATCCTAGTCCTGAAAGGGCCTTGTGACACGATTCAAGCGCTGCCACTGAATTAATTCTGCAGAGGGGGCATTTCCACAAAAGAACCCCATATGCGGCCACACAAGGCCTTGGGATTAGGGTACATTCAAAAGACTCCCTCTGGACTAAGAAACAACTCTGTGTTAATGTATTAACTGAAAGTTTCAGGAAACACTGAAAGTTCTCAAAATGTTCACAGAAGCAAGTCAGCAATTACAAGTTACCACTGACATCGTAACTGGTGAAAATTATCTTGCAACTCAGCAATTTTCTGCAAATGGCCATAAGATACATAAGAAAACTGTGCAAAAGCACATGCATGTACAAGAGTAAATGCTATGCGTGTCTGGATTGCTCAAGTGTGCACCTGTAAGTATATGCATGTGTGCACATGTGCACAAGCACACACAGAAAAATGACAGCAGACACTAAAACGGAAGTAGACACAGCTACTTCTTGCACAACTCTGGATCGTTCCAATTCAGAGGCCATGATTACATGGCCACGTTACATAAAGAACTTTCTGGAATTGTGTGGTGGCATCAGCTTAGCTGGCTCTTCAGCCAAGGAGGCTGGCATAACTGCTAATACCAAGCAGCAGAGCATATACTGTGGTTAAGAGGTGGACTCTGGAAGATCATCTGAGTTCAAGTCCCAGCTCGTACCTTACTGTTAGTCGAATAGCCTTGGGGAGATCAGTCAATGTTCCTATTTTTCAGCTGTTTCCTCATCTATAACATGGGAACAGTGATGAACCTGAGCTCGAACATGGTTGTTAAAGAGGTAAGTGAACTAACACATGTAAAGTCATAGTGTCTAGGTCTAAGAATGTACTCTATAAATGACAGATGCTGCATTCCTTGCATTCTGCTAAATAGTAAACAAGATCCCCAAAAAGGTGCTAATACACTAAAATTGTAAGTACTTACTTCTAAACACTAGAAAAACAATCCCTGCCTTAAGATTAGAATTGTAAAACGCCATGAACTTTTAGTCACAAAGTGGTTTAACAGATCAGATCTATTACCATAGCCAGAAAAAAAAAATCTTGATTTATGTGGTTTAACTGAAATTAAATGAGGCTACAAGATAACAACAAAGATCTTATATATGTCCACTGGTAGAGACATCAAGGTGTATGTGTGTGGGTCGAGAGGGCGTGTATTTCCTTTGCCAGGAAATCAACATGCACAGCAGCCCGGCAGAAAATTAAGACTCAGATCAGCTGCCGTTGGGTATAAAATGATGCCTGTTCTGATGATATCAACAGGCTACCATACCCATCTCACTGTTTGCAGCACAAACTGGTCTTCACTCTCCTATAGAAGCACATGATCTGAGGCCCAGAGTAAACTGTTAGCCTCCCTCCTAACTGCACATATGGAAAAACCACATGATCTCCATGGCAATGGCCATGCTGACAGTGGACACAGAGTGGCCACCAGAACGCAGGTAACTGGATTTCTAGGCTAACATTCTTTTCTTCTTGGAAGGCTCACTCCCACTGCTAAAAGGATCGCCTGACTTATGAGTGCAGCACAGAATGATTTGAATCCCAGAAACATGCAGTGTCACTAAAAGAACAACGTATGGTGAGTGAGGGGGCTGCTGGTGTGTGCTCCAGAAGGGCAGCAAATGTAAGAGAGCACAACAGGTAAGATTACCAGGAAGAAAACACTGCCCTGCCACCTTCCATGCTGTCTGCAATACTACAAGGTTTGATTTCTCTGACCCATAAGGAAGGGTAGGATGGTGCAGTGGGGAGAGCAGTCACCACATAGTGCTGACCTCCCAGTACCTAAGACCTTTAGGAAGCCACTGAACCTCATTCATCTGTATAATCAGGGTGCTGACTGTGCTACTCCCTGAACACTTCCAGCTTTACAAAAAGGACACCAGGACTTGGGATGTGGCTCTGTGGTCCAGCACTTGCCCAGCTTGCAGAAGGCCCTGGGTCAGCATCACAAAAACAAAACAAAACTAAACAAGACAGGACACTTGCAGTTTTACAGGGATCCCCTCAATGAAAAGAAACACTTCCAGGGTCAGGTGGAAGAAACAGGAAAACACTGCTGAGTTTAAAAAGAGGCGGGGGCTAGGGACTTTTCTAAGAAAAGAAGATTGAAGCCTTAATACAAACAGAGACAAGACGCTAACATTGTGGATGAAAGCAAACATGGACACGGTACCATGGAAAACAGTGCCACTTTCTGAGGGGTCACCACTGTCCTTTGCTTGCTTGCTTTTAATTTCCTGGGAGCCATCAGCTCGGGCTCAGCGACAGATGGTACTTACTAGAAAGCTGCTTCTGGAGCTGCCGCACCAGGGCGGCTGTCTGCTGCTGCTGCTGCGTCTGCTGCAAGCCTTGCCTGGGAAACTGCAATTGCAACAGGAGAAAGGAGGGAAGTCAGCCCATGGCGCCATCACAGGCAGGAGAGGCAGGAGCCCAGGGTCAGACGTTCTGTGATGCACTTTACATACAGGGGGATGACAGGGCCATCCATGCCGTGTACACCCTGCCGTACACCTAGTACCTCAGAAGTGTCCCAGTCATCCAGGAGCTCACGCTCATGATGGTTCGCTGGCATTTATTTGAAAAGTCCTGATCATGGAGCCCACACTCCAGAGGTGCCCAAAAAGCTCAAAGATCACTGTCGTCTTACCCTTCACCAATTTGCTAAATGAAAATCAACATATCATGAATAGTTTTTTTTAGCAAAATGAAAGCTCTCTAGTGAGATCTGTTCAATTCCTACAAACCTTGCCTACGCGAATGGGAAAAAAATCTGGGGAGGCAGAGCAGCGCTAGGGCCAGGCTCACGTGAGACTCCCACCCAAAGGGAGAGGAAGGCTGGCAGTACTCGTCGTTGGTGCACTGTGGCCAGTGCTGGGGCAGGATGAGGCCGAGGGAGGCACCAAGCGTGCCAGCTTTAGGAAAATGATCACTCTCGGGCCCTGCGAGTGAGTGCCAAGGCCATGGGAAGAGTCCACCCTCAGGTACAATACGAGCGGCTGGTCCCCCGGTTCTATCTGTTCAGTTGAAATAAGAAATTATGGCAGTTACCTAAAAAGGGGGTTAGTATCTAACAGAAGAATCACTTTTTATTCGAATGCATGGTAACACCAATTTATTTTTCTTAACCTGCAAATGCCAGGCTGTCACTTTCTCCCTTTTCTGTCTTTGCTCTCTTCTCCCCCCCTCTTTCTGCGTGGTGTATTACTGCTCTAACTAAGGAGGTGTTTCTTAGTCACAGGCCCATCAGGACCGTGCTGCTCTCCCCAGCCTGCTGGTGTGGGATGCATCCACCGGATGGAGCCCCTTCCCCATCTATTCTGAGGGGAGAGGGGCACTTCCAGGAGGCTGGCAGAGAGCACGGTGAAGTTTTGTTTTGGTTTTGCCAAGTCCGTGCACGCCGGGGCTCTGCTGGCTGAGCACACCCCGGAGCCGCCAGGGCAGGAAGGCTGCAGCCCTCTTCGCTTTCTCCCTCTTCTGTCCCACGGCCTTAGGAACCTCCAGGCCTGTGCCGTGACTCCGGTCAGTTCCCTCAGTCCTGCGCCCATCTTTGAAGAGTTTTGTCTTTACAGAATATTTTCAATTACCTTATATGAATGCAACATCTACTTGTTGCTCTGCTTGCCAATGACAGAAAATAGCCTCGGATTACAAGTAGGGTTGCCAAAAAATAAAAATACAAAATACACAGTTAATGAGAATTACAGATATATAATGAATATCTAGTTCTGAATATACTTCATACGACAAATATTGAATTTAGTTTAAGTGCGTCCAATATAGTGCTTGGGACACTTATACCATTACCATCTACCTAAAACCCAGGTTTATCTGCGAGTCCTGTATTTTCCCTGGCAGTTCTAACTGGTGGCATCACCTGGCTGACTCTTCTAAAACTGAGTGTCTGGAGCAGCACCAGACTCAGCCGCTTCTCTCCAACCAGACGGTGAGCAACTCAGGACGGGGCTGGGGCTTATCCACCCATGTGCCCCTTGTAGCACACGGTGCTGGGCACTCAGCAGCCGTGCAGTGCGAATCAACAGCACCGCGGAGTCTGAAGCGCCACCAACTCCCACAGCCTTCCTCATCGCTACAAAGATACGCAACGCTGACAAAGTGTTCCCTCTATCACCGCCACTATTTTCCCAATTCGAAGGCAGGAAAATCACAGGCTGCCTTCCCTTCTTTCTTCCTATTGCCCAGATACAGAGGGGAAAAACAATAAAAAGAAATCTGTCATTTATGTGGAAAAATAAAAGTGCTTTCTTCTATGCAACTGTTACTATGCTAACTTAGAAAAATCACTGTATTTACTTAACAAAACCATATGTACTACTTACTATGTGTCAAGCACTATTGTGGACACTGTGTGTATGTAACATCAATTTAATCTCCATGTGGTGGCAACTCCTCAATCTCTAACTCAAAGTCCTTGGGATACATGTGTGACATTCAATATACAGATAGTTTACTATGAAACATTCATAATACATAGACCAAGCCTAAATGTAAGACAGCACGCCACAGCCAACATATTAAATTTCTGCAGCAAAACACATCAGCAGTCACATCAACCAGGATAAATTAAGAGAGCCTTGTGTCCATTCAGGTCAGCTTTTGTGAATTATAAGTAATTCTTCCATTTTCAGTGGCATCGGAATTTGGGGAACATATATAAGGGAGTGTGAACTCTTCCTATTATTCTCATTTTACAGATGAGGAAACTGAAGTTCAGAGGGGTTCAGTAATTTGGTCATTATCACCCTAGGTATTACGGCTGGGTTTCAGACTAAACTTTCTGGATCCAGAGTCCAAGTTCTTAACCACGATCACCTAGTTTACCCCCTCAAAATCTAAAAAAAAAAAAAAAAAAAAAGTGTGCGTGTGTGTGTGTGTGTGTGTGTGTGTGTATATATGGTAAAATGCAATGTTATATGTATACCTTGTGGGACGATTAAATCAAGCTAGTTAACATATTGATCACCTGGCATATTTATCATTTCTTCATAACGAGAACTTTTGAAATCTACTTTTAGCAATTTTGAAGTATGCAGCACATTATTATTAATCATAATCACCATGCTATGCAGTGGATTACCAGAACTTCTTTCTTACATTTTATAGCCTTCGGCCAACATTTCCCCATCTACCCACCACCCCCTCAGCGTATCCGTAAGTGGAAATACTATCTTCCAAATATGAACTTATTTGGAAATAATTCTAAGTATCTGGCTACAAAGGTGTCCAGACTGATTAACCGGCTGCTGGCTGCACAGTGGATAAGCAGCGACCACTTGCTCATTTGACAAATGCTTAGCCACCTTCCTTCTGCTCACTGAAAACTTCTTTCAAATGAAACTGTTCACAGAACAGAACAGAGCAGTGACCTCCGCGGATTCTCTATTTTGCAAAGCCTGGCAGGAACCAGGTACCGAGAGGGCTCCGTCCTGGTGTGTGCACGTGCGCGTGCTGGCAGGGGGACGCGGGCTGCTGAGTGACCTGAAGAGGCTGGCATAGGGCTGGGAGGCTACTCAGTGGTATAGAGTTTGCTTAGTATGTGCAAGGCTCTGGGTTCAATCACCTGAGCCAGAAAAAGAAAACAAGCAAATAAAAAAGAGGTAAAACACATTCAGAGTGCTTCCACGGATGATTCAGGGACCTCGGGGGGAGTCCTCAAGACTGCCGTGTTATCTGCAAAGTCAAAAACATTTCCACAACCATAGGAAGATATGAATTTGCTTTGCTCCCTTCCACTGTCCCCTGAGTGTACAGCGTACATAAGCTGTGCGTAAGGCACGCTAGTGCAATAAACCCAGTGTATTCTATTCAGCCAGGCATTAAAGACATGCTTTAAAATGGTAATGTCATTTCTCTTTTACTTTGAAAAATATATTTTTCATAAGAATGTTATTTCTATTGCTGTAAAATGGTTATTTTAAAATAAGTTACTCGAGGGCTGGGGATTTAGCTCAGTGGCACAGCGCCTGCCTGGCAAGCGCAAAGTTATGAGTTCGATTCCCGGTACTGGAAAAAAAACAAAAATAAAATAAAATAAGTTATTAAATGTTGCTAATATTTCTGCTTTAATTTGTAAAACAGTAAATATTGATAGATATACAAAAGTTTCTTGGCTCCACAGTAACTATGGATGTGAAAAGGTTCTGAGGCCAATTCTTTAATCACAAATATGGAACAAGACGGACAGATCTATATTTAAATCTTCTAAATTGCAGTTTTTAAATACATGCTTCCTCTCAAAGCCACTCTGATGTTGTATCTTCAACTGTACACAAACACGAGCAGGGCAGAGACCTCAGACTCTGCTGCTGGAGCCCCTGCCAACCCAGGAAGACAGCTGCGACCAGCTCCCCCAGAGAAAGCACTGCTGTGCATTCAGATCAGGTCACTGTACTGCAGGACTGGACCCGGGAAGATGGCAGGAGGCACGAAACCAGGCGGAGAAATTTTTTAAATGACCCCCCTGAGCTCCTTCTTAGACTTTCTGAATTAGAATTGCTCCAGGAAGTAAGTTGGAAATCTGAACTCAAATGCTTCTCAGAGACTGATGATGGCTAGATTTGGAAACTGTCATGTTGGAGAAGATGAAACTTTTAATATACCAAAACAGGTCAAGAAACAGGTCCATCAGGGTTTACCAGAGATCCTAAAATTCATAATCCATGCATATTTAGTATTTCCTATTTGAATGTAATAAAGTAGGAACTGTCTTACTAGACTGGATCTTATCTACAGAGATAATGATCTTGACCTCTCTCACGGCTGTGCCTTTGCAGATGTTAATCCCTTCTCCCCAAGTACCCCGCACCCCACTTTATACCGCCCTTAAAATGTCCTCATCCTTCAAAGAGCAGCTAAGTTTTACCACCTAATTCTTCAGGCATACAGAGCAGGGACCGCGCCTGACCCCGCAGTGCTGTGGGCACCTTAATCACAAGCACGTGGGATAGCTTAGCCAGTGCCTTTCTCCAGTACTTTGGCTTCTGAGCTTCCTGGGGGCAGAAGCTACACTCTGCTGTGACCAAAAGACAAAACACACAGCTCAGCAACTCTAGTGCAGCCTAACCGCCCTCCAGTAAGCACCACTGTTCCGCTCAGCTCAAAGACAAAAAAACAAACTTGGATCCTTCAGTTTCTGTTTTGATAAAATTCATTTATTCAAGAATATTTACTTTTTCTGCTTAATTATTACCAAAGCAAAAATGTGTTACTAGTAATCTCTGCCTAACCAAATGCCATCATGTCTTTTTTAAATCTCAGAACTTGAACTTACCCTTTTACCAGCAGACACAAATAAATCAGCAACCGGGATAATCTGAGGATGGGCCTCCATACTAACTCTCAGG